CCGAGCCCTGAGGGACCCCACTGTTCACATCCCGCCAGGTCAAGTACGACCTGTCCACAACCACTCTCTGGGTGCATCCCATCAGCCAATTTTTGACCCATCCAACTGTGTGGGCATCAATGCCACAGTTGCTCAATTTATTAATGAGAACGGGGTGAGAGAGTGTCAAAGGCCTTCTTAAATTCCAGAAAGACTATGTCCACGGCAACACCATCATCCACGGATTTAGTTACCTGGACATAAATGGCCATCAGGTTGGTCTGGCAGGACCTGCCTTTGATGAACCCATGTTGATTTTCCCTGGGCATGATCTCCCCTGCTGGCCCCTCACAGATAAGCTCCTTGATAATTTTTTCAAGGATTTTCCCCAAGACTGATGTGAGGCTTATGGGCCTATAGTTTCCTGGGTCCTCCTTTCTCCCTTTCTTATAGATGGGGACCATGTGACGGTGAGGCTACTGAAGCATTCCAATTAGGACACTCCAGCAGACTCAATTAATTAGAATGCATCCAAACAGGCATCAAGCATGTGTACAGGCATTCAAAGATACCAGACAAACTGAACCATGCAGCTTGATCCAGCATGGTAATTCTTAAGTTGGATGCTTACAAAAACAATTATACACTGGAGGAGCATGTTTAAAAAAAAGTGCTGCTCCACAGCAAAAAGCAGTGAAATGGAGAGCTAAAAGGTTAGCATTGTTTCAGAGAATGGAACTAACACTCAGATGTATTAGTAATGTTACAACAGATCTACGATGACTGAGTAAACTATTCACTGGAGAGCTTCTTCACAGAGAAACCCTGCTAAAAACAAAACAAAGAAACAGCTTGTTTCTTAGGCAGGCTAGGCTTTTTTTTTTTTTTTAATCTAAAAAAATATTTTTTTTAGTGGCCAGCAGTTACTTCTGCACTTTAAGAATGGCTTCAGCCTGAACAGGTAGGCACCTATCTCTTGCCTAAGCCTCATGGGGGTTCCAGAAACCAGGTCAAAGCAGTTCCTAAATTATTTGAAGGGCTAACTGTGTTGATAACATTAGACTACTTGCAAAATGTAATCACAGCGCCTTTCTTTTTAAAATTAAAACAGTAGTGGAGAAGCCCACTTCATTATATAACAGCTTCATGACTACAGCACTTTTCCAGAAGTGGCGTCTTCTATGCCCCTCTCAGTCTATGGGGGTTCCAGCCCACATGTTCAAAGATGTGCCCTAACCAGTGGTGCAAAGGGATTTTCCACCCCTTTTGTTGAAGTTGTGCCACTTTTTGGAATGGAATGCAAGATTCATGGAGCCAGAAGGAGAAAGCACAAGAAGGATCCCGCGTCTGTTGCTTAGTGGTTAGGACATTCATTGTGAAGGGTTTCTATTCCCAGATTACTTCTTAATATAAATAAGTAAGCAGTCCTTTTACACCAAGCACCTAAATAAGGATCGGAGCAGTTAGATACTCAATTATCACAGTTTTCAGAAGCTTGCAATTAACTTATCATCTCTTACAGAGACAGCAAGATTTGCATTCTTTGGAAAATGCTCATGTTTTACCTTTCCTAGGAAGGCCATAGCGTGAGAATTACCAGCATTAGCTGCTTGATTGAAGTATTCAAATGCTCTCTGTAATAAAATACCCATAAGTATGTCAGACAATAAAAGCATACATACACACCACAAATTTCAAAATACCAGTCACCTAATAAACAGCACTGGATGACAATATGCCAGGAAGGAAAAGGAATTAAAATGCATAGAAGAGGTGATATCTTTTATTAGATCAACTAGATATTTGCAAACAAATTATTTTATTTATTTGCAAGCTTTTGGGCATAAATGATTTCTTTTGCCTCTAGGATCAATACGGCTAACAACCTAGATACCAGGAAGGAAATGAACTTTTTTCTTCTTCTAGCTCTAGAGTAACTTAAAGAGATTCTACATTAGGTTCCACTGGCAAAGGTATAATACCAAATATTACTTGTGATGTACAGAAAGGATTTCAGGATAAGGACGAACATCTTTATTCATGCCATAAATTAGTGAGAAATAGTGTCATTCATTTCAATTTACATGTAAGTATGACATAAGCTTAACTCAGATGCTGAATTCTCTATGTAAATTCAGTCTCCAGCATCAAATATCTTCCACAGTTCATAATTACCCTCAAGAGTAATTCCCTCAGGCATTTCCCCATATTATTCACCCCACAGAACAAAAAGCCAAACAAAACAAAAATACCAGTCACCCTGCACATAGTACTGAATGACAATGTGCCAGGAAGGAAACATGTTCTTCAGTGTTCCCTGTAAGGTGTGCGTGTGCGCAGCCGCGCACAATTAAAAATCTTGCCGCGCACAAACTTTCTCATGCTGCGCACCCGCCCAGAGAGGAGCTGGGTGCACAGTGCGGTGGAGGCACTGGGGCCAGCATGGGACATTTAGGTAAGCTCCTCACTGCAGGGCAGGCAGCAGCAGCTCCTCCCTTAGACAGGGGCGGGGGCGAGTGAGGAGGCACGTGGCGTCAGGGCTGGAGAGTGGAGCAGTTCCCCGGAGTCGGCAGAGCCTGTGGAGCACTGCTCACTAGCTACTAATGGAAAAATATTGAGCTCTGCAGCAAGCTGTTAGGGAAACAGAAGCCCTTAATCTAAAAGTTCTACACCAGGTACTAGACTTGCTTTTTATATTTAAAAAAAATCTGTATTTAAATTCAGAACAGAAGTGAGTCCAAGCAGAATATTAAAAACAACACTTGGTATTTTTTCCTCTTATACACAGAACAAAAATAGTTCTCTTATCATTTGCACTGCAAATGAATGTACTTAAATCAGCATTTATGTTGGACACTGCTTACAAATAAATCAGACCACTAAATGGAGTAGATAAAAGTTTGGCTGTTGTTTATATTTTTAATCTTGACAAACAATACTTCTTTTCAAAACCAGTCTGTTCCTCACATCACAGATTCTCTTTGGCACTTTACCCCATTACAGGGCGAGGAGGGGAGAGGGAAGACACTGTGCCATAGCAAGGTGGGGGCAATCAGGATGACTGCCCTGGGTGCTGAAGCAAAGGGGTGCTAACAGGCACTGCCCAGCCAGTGTGGGCCATGGGACAGAGCCACGAGCAGCTCATTTGTGGGGCACGGGGATGTGGGGAGGGCGGCTCTCACCACTGCATGCACGGACAGGCATGGAGGGAACTGCTCCGCCGGCTCCAAAGTGGTGCGCTCATGGACCGTTAACTCCTTAGAGGAAACACAGATGTTCTTGTCTTCTAGCTCTGAGTAACTTAGGGAGTTTCTCCAGATCCATTCAGCAATTAAATCTACATAGTAAGGAGCCCCCCACCCCGCCCAAAACAATATGCATATAAATTGGTAACCCCCTTGAGCCTGGCATGTCACAAAAATCATAAGAAACAATGTCATATTCATTTACAGGCCCCAAACCTAACACTCTTAGATGAGTGTCTACGCAGTTTTTTCAACATTCAACTTCATACGAATAGGAAAGGCTCATTTAAGTAAAGATAACTTTTGTAAAAGTTCAGTGTAGTCAGCTTCACAGTTGCTGGCTCTAACAGGCTTCCTAGTTCTAAGCTCTTGATTAGTAGCTGAGCAATGAGTGGAAACTTCTTATCTCTTTGGCAGTCACAAAGATCTCCATTTTCCATTACATAATTTTTAAAAGCTGTTTTATTCTCCATGCAGCATAAAGCAATACAGTACACTAAGTCCTTGGCAGTTTCATTTCACACATTTTTCTGTTTTTTTCATCATGAAAACCTGTATTTGTTGTAACACTTGTGTCAACATGAGCTAAATTTTGGTGCTATTACATGCATCTAAAGCAATATGAATAGCCTCCTATCATGCATGCGAAGGTCAGTCACTGCCTGAAATATGCAATATTGCCTGCTGTACTGAGATTTAGTTTGGCTCTCTGCGTTTTAACTTCCTTACTTTTTTCACTATTGTTGTAAAACAGTGGTGCTAAAGCTTTTGGTTCTGCAGGCCAGATGACTGGTGTAGGGCCAGATCAAACTCTGCATGTGAGGATTGGGCCCTGGGGACTTGCTACAGTCCAATTCTGGCTCCCCACACCAGGATTAGGCCCTAGGGCCTGGCACTGCCTCACATGCCAGGATTGGGCCCTAGGGCCCAATGTTACCTGCCTGCCTCTGCCTGCTGGGGTCAGGCACCCGATTCAGTGCACAGGGCCTGAGCTTCCCCATAAGTCCAGAAATCTGGCAGCAGGAGAGGGGTACTACTGCCCCTGCCAACAGGTTTCCAGAACCATGGGGAACTCCATGGGCCCGGTGACACAATGCCATGAGCCGGATCTGCCTGTAGGATGGGGGTTGAGAACCCCTGCTGTAAAAGAAAAATCATGTCTAATTAGATTGTGCTGATCAAAGCAGCATACACAGCCAGCTAGGATATCATTCAACTGTGATAAGCAGCAAGCAATTTAGATTACACTTTTGATGTTTTTTCTCCCTCCAACTTATCATTACTCATAAAGGATGCAAAATAGGTACCTGGTGATTCTGCTCTACTCCTCTTCCTCCATGTAAGTGTAACTGCCCAAGGCCAACCTGAACATAAAAACAAAGACTTAAATTACACATTTACATGATAAGCTTAATCCATGTAGAAACAAATCAATTACAGCACAAATAAATGAATCACACCAAGATACAGCATACCAAGCTGTTTATACAGTGAAAGAGAAAACAAAGGAAAATTTTAAGAACGTCTCCTCCCTTAGTCAAAACATAATCTGAGATAAAAAGATGAGTAAAACAAATAAGATACCTACCACAGGTGTAATGCTCAATATCTAAATTCTTTTATCCATGTCCTTTTTTTAACCTTAGCCAAACAACTATTTACTTGTTGTGAGCCTATGTGCTTCAAAACATGAACTGGAAGAGCCATTGTATTTTCAATGTATTCTTTGCCAAGACTGCCAAAGCAACCAATTAATGAAATCTGTGATACAAACACCTACTCCATTGGCAACCGGGCAGAAGACATCAAGCTTTGCATATGATGGTCATTAAAATTAAATAATTTCCTAGAAGAGACTACATAAACTAAGAATTAAACAGGTTTCCCATAAATCTACAATAAAAGTTAACTGCAGAATGTCAGGCAACACTAGTTACTGCTAGGAATCTCACTTTAATGACCATCATGTATTTGGGCTGTCTCTTCATAAGAAGTTTTGATCCCCTCCTATTTACCGTATTTACTCAATTCTAAGAGGAAGTTCCCCTCATTTATCATGGGGGGGAAAAGTTCCCCTCATTTATCATGGGGAAATTCTATCCCCTCTTAGAATTGAGTACGTGGAGTGGGGTGGAGGTGGGAGAGGCAGATGGCTGCTATAGCTTGGGATCCAGGTAGGGGTACACTGATAAAGATTTTCTTGGCCAATACCTATAAACGATTATTCACCAGGCATATTGGCTGATACCGTTCCAATAACCGATTTACAGGAATGCAGCTGGGCAGTGTGGAGAGCAGTGCTCTGCAGGTAAGTCTGTGGAGGGGAACAGACATAGCGAGGGTGCAGATCGAGGCCCCCATGGTGAGGGAGGGAGTAGGACAGGGGTTGGGGGTGCTGTCCAGACAGGGCAGCAAGTGGGACCCTGGGGCCAGGGCGGGGAGCGGGACAGAGCTGCAGGTGGCTCATCCAGGGGAACAATGTCCGGCACTTAAAAATGGCAGTGGGAGCCCTTGAACGTAAAGCTTGTCAAATGAACTTTAGTTCAGGCACCACTGCCACCATTTTTAAGAGTGGGGATGCTGCCAACTGGAGCAGAACAGGGTGAGGGTAGAGGCAGGCTGCCCGCTGTGGGTTCAGGGCTCTCCACCTTGGTGCCTTTGTCCCGGGAGCCACACGCTGACAGCAATTTCCCTGCCTGTCCAGCAGGAGGTACAACTCACCACTGCCACGGGATGGGCAGGGGACAGTGTGTGGCTCCTGGGGCAAAGACAGCAGGACGGAAAGCCCACCTCCATCACATGCACAAATCTGGGAGGGGCACATGCTCCCCATGCCTCTCCCCAGGGGTGTGCACAATGGTGGGAAGTCACCCTCACCCTCCGCCCCGCACCCCCTGGACAAGCCCACAGCTCTGTCCCACTCCCTGCCCCAGCCCTTGGTCCCAATCACCGTTTTGGCTGAGCAGCACCCCCAGCCCCTTTCCTCCATTACACCCTTTTCCGTCTGCAGGTGTACTTGCAGGTCCTGCTCTCCATACTGCCTGGCTGCATTCCTGGCTGTGTGTGTGCATGCATGCATGCGGCATCCAGGGCCCAGGCCAGAAGGCACATTATATTTAATGGTACATTAATTGACTACATTGGCCAAAAAAAGCCGATAACAATAATGTTAAACTTTTCTTTTTATCGGTGCTGATCTGATATGGCACCAATATATTGGTGCACCTCTAGCTCCAGGTCCTACCCAGGGTCTGGGCTATAGCCACAGCTGCTGCCTGCCGACCCAAACCCCCTGCCCTGCTGCCTCTATTCCCCCATTTCCACCCTGACCCCACACAGACTCTGCTCCCCTGCCTGCCCCTCTTCCTTCCCCCTGCCTCTTATTTTTGCTCTGTGCTGGTAGGCTCCACCTATACTTCAGCCTGAGCCATGGAGCATAGCCCCACCCTGGCCCTGCAGCAGCAGTGTGCAGCCCACAGAGCTGCTACAGGGGCTGACCTGAGGCTGTGCTCAGTGTCTCAGACTAAAACGAGGACAGAGCCCAAAGCAATGGGAGGTTAGGGGGAGCAGAGTCTGGGGGGGTGGAGGTGAAGGGTGAAAGGCACAAGCAGGAGGTAAGCTACTTGACTTCCCCACACCACCTACACCCCCACAGCGGTGGGGAGGATAAATTAAATATGACCCCCCCAGTAATTAGATTCTATACATGGAAAATTATAACAAAATTGATAAATTTTCCATGTATAGAACCTAATTATAGTAAGGGGTCATCTTCAATTCAGGGTTGGCTTTTATTCAAGCAAATACAGTGTATAGTGAAAGCCCCCTGGTTTCTACTTAACTGCATCACTGCCTTCATACATGCTTGCTTTGCTGCTTGACCACAGACCTCTGGTATTGGGTCATGTACATTGTGATAACGAGCCTTCTGATCAAAGATCCCTTTATAATGGCTAATGCTGCTCCTAAAAGAAGCAGGGAGTGCTGAGAAATTCTCTCTCTCAGAAAGTAAAGAGAATAACCATCAGAAAATTGTTTGAAAGAAGAATTTTGTTTCCCACCAAAATAATTGGTAAAATAAGCGGGTGGTGCACTGGAGGGGTGCCAGAGGACTGGAAGAGGGCCAATGTGGTTCCAATCTTCAAAAAAGGGAGGAAGGAGGACCCGGGAAACTATAGGCCAGTTAGTCTTACCTCGATCCTAGGCAAGCTGTTTGAAAAAATAATTCTGGCACACATCCAGGAGGGGCCAGTGGGGGACTGCATGCTTAGAGGCAATCAGCACGGGTTCATCAGTGGCAGGTCCTGTCAGACCAACCTGGTGGCTTTTTATGATCAGATCACCAGATCATTAGATGCAGGGGTAGCAGTGGACATAGTCTTCCTGGACTTCC